CTGATCTGGAAGTGCTGCTTAAGTATCTTTGTGAAGCAAATTTATTCTAGGGAATCATAGTTGGCACGAAAAAATTATATTCCTTTCCACATCTTATATTCTGTGTAATGAATATGAATTTATGATTATTTCTATGTTCCATGATAATCAAGAATACTTGATTTCTAGGGAAGCTCTGGGAAATAAAGTGACAGAAAAGATCCTTGAAAAAGCTGGGAGCAAATCTCATCAGACACATAATCAAAATCCAAGATTAAGGTCTACATTGCGATGATGAGGGTGCATCTTTACATTTGAGTTTTAAGCATATGTGTTCCAGGAGTCCAAAAATGAATCTATAATTAATAACTGGTCAAACAATTTATTAAGGAATCTTTGAAATTAAAGTAAAAAGTCAATCAAATAAAGTGGCTGACAATTTATGGGGAATATAGTACATATATCTAAAACCAGTAACACTCAAATAACAAATAATTTGTGAGAGATGAAAAGATTTCAGAGAGTGGCATATTTATTTTAATGAGAAGGAGCTTTCAGGAGGTAACATATTTAATTCAGAGCTTGGACAGCAACAAACTGAATTCAAGAGGAAAATGGCCTGGAGTCTGAAGAGTAACACACTGAGTGCAGAATGAGATAAAAGCATGGATGTAAGAAAATGACATGGGAAATGATTGATGGATTACGTGCCATCAGCTCTTACCAACTATATAAAGATAATCTTCAACTTATGACCAAAATTGGGAACAGAATTTCCATTGCTAAGTGATGCAATTGTAAAACAAGACATCAAATGACAGCAATGCTGTCATTAACTGACAATCATGGGTCGTTAAATGAGTAGCCATCCCAATCTAAGCCATTCTCAGCTTAGTCCTTCCCAGTCCCAAGCCTCAGTAAGGCAAGGGACTGCATTCTGCTCCCCCCCACACCTGTGTATCTCCCTCCTATTTATGTACTTTGGCTCCCTGCTTCCCTTGGCTCTTGCAGTGCCAAGATGTCCAGACCCAACCCAGCGCACTGCAAAAAGCAGTGCCAGATCCATGGCACATGAGGAAGCCCAGCTCAGTGCAGGGCAAAAGGACTTACTGGGGTGAAGGGCAAGGCTGAGCATGCCTAGTCAGTAGTGGGAGCAAGATGATGTTGAAATTCAGCAGGAGCAATAAGAGGGCAGAGTGGCAGGTGGAAAAAAGCACAGATGGAGGAGATGGGTGGGTGTTGAAGTGGGATGCATACCTACTTAACCCAAGATTCTCAGTTGCTGATGATAAATCAAGTGTCAGGATTGCTGTTGCTAAGTATCTTGGTTATGAGATATCTCATAACTTTAGGGCTTAGCAGTGGGAATTCTTGTCCCAGCTTTGGTCGTGAATCAAGGATTACCTTTCAATAGTTGGTAAGAGCTGATGGCACATAATCCACCCATCATTTCCCATGCCATTTTCTTACATCCATGCTTTTATATCATTTGCATTCAGTGTGTTACTCTTCAGACTCCAGGCCATTTTCCTCCTGAATTCAGTTTGTTTGCTCTCCAGACTCTGAATTAAATATGTTACCCCCTGGAGTTCCTGCATTTTTTCTATTAAAATAAATAGGTTCTTTCTAAAATCCTTTCCTCTCTCTCAAATTATTGCTGTAAGTTATTTGAGTGCTTGAATGTTGGTTTTAGATATTTGCACTATATTCCTGATTATTTGGTTGTCTTTCTACTTTAATTTACGATTACTTTAATTTACGATTACTTTAATTTAAGATTACTTAATAAATGGTTTGACCTGTTATTAATTAATTATAGGTTCATTTTGGGGCTTCTGGAACCCATATGCTTGTTTAATAACCTCTAATGTAAATATTTCCTCTACTGCCACTTTATCATCACAAAATAGACCTTAATCTTGGGTTTTGATGAGAACCGTCATGTGTCTAATGAGATTTGCTCCCAGCTTTTTCAAAGCTCATTTTAAGGATCTCTTCTGTCACTTTATTTCCCAGAACATTCTAGTAAATCAGGTATTCCTCATTATCATCATATGTGAAAATAACTATAAATTCATTGCCGATAATAATGCAGCAATATGTATCATTATGGCAGAGATTTTATGATATTTTACAATAATACTTTTTATAGATTATATTATAGCAGTGGATTTATTAGCAAGCCAGTGGCTGTTGAAAAGTAAAAAAAGATAAAATAATGTTCTTTGTTATAATTGAGTTCTCTTTGATTATTTTGAGGATAAACAACAGGTAACTACATACCGTATTTATCTTTTTTAATCTTTTAGTTTCATTACATTTTCTGTTGTTTTATGTATCATAAAATATTATGGTATATTACAACAAATAACATTTGATTTTATATGTGTACTTCCAAGCTGTCTCCTTAGAACGTGGATGCAAATCTAATTTTGCCTCACTATTGCACAATCTCTGATTATTTTAAATCAGGAGGGGAACCAATACATTCCTGTTTTTTTTTTTTTTTTGGGGGGGGGGGGAAACAAAATTGTGTAAGTGCAATATTGGACTTAATTTATTAACTTTAGTATTGATTTTGGTTTAGTACTTTAGAATGTGTTCATGTGTGTGAACAGCTCCTGCAATTATCCAGAATGGTAGTGCTGACTGGGAATGTCCAAGCTGTATTCTTGACATCTGCTGGCCACAGTTTGGCTTTGGGAAAAGCTGCACTAAATCATAAACTATGTATTACAAATTGCATGGGAAAGTCTGCATGTAATATTGATGACTAGATAATTGATTAGTATTTCTAGGTATCCCGATAATTAATCAGTCACTTTATTTAAATATAATTTTGTTTATATGTTACTTAGATTTAGAATATACAAGTGGAAATTTTAAGGGATAGTTTGGTGTAGTAGTCAAGGCATCGGACTAGATACCAGGAGACTATAAGTTCTAATCTCACCTTAAGCACAAAGCCAGCTGAGTGACCTTGGTTCAGTCACTTTCTTACAGCCTTAAGAAAGAGGCAACGACCTCTTCTGAAAAACCTTGCAAAGAAGGGAGCAGGGTAGTCCAGGCAGTCACTGAGAGTTGGACATAATTGAATGGAAGAAAAGAAAAGAAAAGAAAGGGAAGTTGTAGTTTTCATTCTATCTTTATTTTTTAAAATAAAAAAGAAAGCTGAATTATGGTAGTTTCATTACAACATGTTGGTGAGAGGTTACATCAAGCTAGGGGCTGCCCATTCTGCCCATTTGTTAGAATTTTATCATTTTCTCTGCATTTAGATTACATTTTGAGTCTGGTCTACTGTTGTTTGATATAATATTTTTCTCTACATTTCGAAGCATGACTTTGTTATTGAACTAACTGAACATTCAGCATTCTAATTGGCTAGTCTCTTGCCCTTAAATCTGATAATAAAACAGACATTGACATGACTGATGTTTAATGAGCTGTAATTGCCATTCGTTACATACAAGACCTGGTGAATGATTCTGCAGAGGTAACAGCTAGGGCTTTTCATTGTAACTGAGAAAGAATAGTTTATTTTTCTGCGATTAAAAAAAGGCCAAACACCTTTTATTTAAACGCATAGGTGCAGATGATTTGTGTTGTTCTTAACAAAGAGATAAAGTTGGCTTGTAAATGAACTTGAGGAAAAGCATCACCGTATAAATGGGGTGGAATTGGTAAGGACATTCTTGAATACCTCTAAAACTAGGCATTTATAGTACCTGACAAGAAAACAAAGCTATTTGGGAATGCTGAATGATAGACATGTCATTGTAATATTAGATTAATTGGTAGGGCCGTCTTAATTTTAATGGTATTCAAGATATTGAAAGGTCAAACAAGGTTATTAGTCCTAAATGACATGCATTTAGCTCTGCAGTACTTTAGCAGTGTGATAGTTCTATCTTTTTTCTACCATTTACCCCTCACTACTTCTTTCAAGACAAGGCTTTTCAAATTGAGTCAGTTAGGCTGCAGCTTTCTGGAAGAAAGAAATGCTAAGAGTAGTAAAACAAACATTTTTCATAATTGGTTGAGCCAGTTGGTGGAAATGTTTTCTTCAAGCATCTTCCTGTTAGTTTCGATGTGAGGAAATTAAATATTCAGTATACTGCATTCTCTAGTCAGTGCTTCTCTCTGCAGTTGTAATGTTTCTACTGTGTATAATAAGGGATTTTACTTTGAAGACAACCATGCTCATTCAGCAAGAACAGGAGAAAAGAAAGAAGCATTCCCTTGCATTAAATCAGTTTCTGTTAAACTTTATGGCAGATACCATCAAATAGATGTGGGCAAGATCATTTTAATGTTGTTGCGATTTTAGAAGCAGTGTATCTACTATTCATAATGTTATTTAGTGTTAGACTCGTGGCATTCCTTGAATACTTTTAGTTGAGGTGTTTTGTATTACAATCCTTACTTTATTAAAAAAATATTGGAGGTCCAGGAAAAGTCACTTCCATATGTAGTTTTTACACATTTATCTACCTTTTTTTAAAATTAGGAAAAAACATATTATTTTTTTATGCAAGTGTGCCTATTGAACTTAGTATTGATAAAGTCAGGGCTTAATCCACACATTTGGAAGAAATTACTTATTCAAAATTGATGTTGGTTCTTGAGATGCTGCCTGTTTCTTGATAAATAAGTCAATATGAAGAGAATATCAGTTCTGTTAAAGTACATACCATGTATAATCTATTCTTCAGAAAAAAAGATAAAGATGTATTCAAATCAAATTTGACACCTTTATCCATGCAGCTCTCTTGGCAATATTATTGATGTTATTGGACACTGCCTTTTTCTGAAATGCTTTTCTTCTTAGTCCCACCAACTCCCTGGAGTTCCTAAATAGTTTGTCTAGTTTGTCCTCCATAAAGTGACCCTGCAGGCTTAGGAAATCAGACAAGATCAATAAATATGGCCCACCTGGACATTCCTCAGAAATAAGAACAAATATAGCTGAGCCTGGTTGTGAATATGTTAATAACATGATTAATTTCTTTTCTTTATAGGTGCATTTGCTTGCAAGATGGTGCCATTTGTGCAATCTACTGCAATAGTTACTGAGATACTTACAATGACTTGTATTGCTCTAGAAAGGCATAATGGCATTGTTCACCCTCTAAAAATGAAATGGCAGTATACCCACAGAAGAGCATATACAATATTGGGTAAGGTCCCATACAATTTTGTTACTTCCTTTTAACTTTTCTTTTCTTTAAAGGATGTTAGAATACTCATATAATCAAAAGAAAGAAAGAAAGAAACCAACCAAACTGTTAAACTCAGACAAACTAGACTAACAATGGTCTGCAATAGAGTAACAAAGTTGAGTGTTTACTTTACTGTTTATTTATTTATTTATTTAGCATATGGATGTGTTAGTAGGGATCACTGAAGGATTTTTTTGGCCAGTGTTATTTTTACCCCTGGGATGCCTGAATGCCAGTAGGCAATTGGAGGAGGCTCCTTTTTTGTCCCTCCGTGGTTTATCCGCTCACGGGAATGGAGCTGCCGGACTCAGCGGTACACAGGCCCAGCATCTTACCACGTGAGCCATCGCAGCTCCCTCTACTTTACTATAATCCAGTATTTTTAGATTAGTACTTCTTGAAACAATTCTAAATTTCATTCAGGTATTTTGGCTACGTCGGAGCAATGACATGATGTCATTTCTAATTTCTCAGTGAATGGGAAATAGAGAAATACAGTAATTAGAATTTCCAACTGAACAGTGCTATTTCTCTTCCCCAAATATTTCTCTTAAAAAATAGTTAAAATCTATAGGATTCTGTAAATAATCATTCTTTAAATAAAGCTCATTACTTTGAATCTTGAGAGTAGATCAAAAAAGTTGTATCTCACCTCTCACTTTGATTATGTTTCACATACTGGCTTATCTTAAAAACAACTACCAAAAGCCAATGATCCATATCTTATTTTATTTTATTTTAATTTCCTCTGTTGTTTTTCTTAAATCACCAATAACTATTTACTTTTAGGCATTGTTTGGCTGTTGGCTGCTGCTGTTGGTTCACCAATGTGGCATGTACAAAGAGTGGAGGTATGGTTGTGTTGTACGCTGGCACTTATTCAGGCTAGTAATTTGGGATGTTTTTGTATAATACTATTCAGGAGCTGAATATAATCTATAATGGAAAAATGTAAGGATCGCATTTCATGACTGCAGGATTTGATAAATGTCAAAAAGAAGAGCAATTGAAACTCTACCTTTGTAAAAATAAGCATCATTTGTGCAACACCCATAAAAATGAGCTTTGATCTCAGTATTGCGGCCATCATCTTGACTTTTCTGACTATATGCTACAGTCATTCCTGCTCTGTAGCATATAGTTAGAAATAGCATTTACGATAGTTATGCATTGAATTGCTGCAGTATAAATCAAGTCAGTTGATGGAAATCATTGATCACATTTAATAGATAGATAAATTTAATAGGATCATAAATATATACAGGTGGTCCTTGTTTAGCGATTGCCTCACTTAGTGACCATTTGCAGTTATGATGGTGATGAAAAAGTAACTTTACAACCAATTTTCATATTTATGAAAATTATTATGTAAAGCAAAGTAAAGTTGAAGTCATATAATGAAAAGAAGGACTAGGGCTGACATGATAGCAGTGTTTCAACACAAAGAAGAGGGAGATATTCTCCAAAGCTCCTGAGGGTAGGAAAAGAAGCAATGGGTGGAAACTAATCAAGGAGAGTAGCAACTTAAGAACTAAGGAGAAATTTCCTGACAACAATTAATCAGTGGAACAATTTGCCTCCAGAAGTTGTAAATGCCCCAACACTGGAAGTTTTTAAGAAGGGGTTGGATAATTATTTGTCTGAAGTGGTGTAAGGTTTCCTGCCTAAACAGGTGGTTGGACTAGAAGACCTCAAAGGTCCCTTCCAACTCTTCTATTCTATCTTATCCTATTCATATCATGAGTACAGTTGTGGTTTCACTTAATAAAAGCTTGCTGATCCCAATTGTGGTTGCTAAATGAGGACTAACTCATATATGCAGATTGTACACAGAATGAAAAAGCCATTTTTTTGTTCATAAAATCCCATTTTTCTACAGATAAAACTTCCAGCATCTAGGTTTGCTTATTAAGTACAAAATGGGTGAGATATATGCTAGAGTATAAGCCCATTCCCTGGTGCTTTATTGATATTTATAGATAAGTAGTCCACGCTTGGATGACTTAATATAAGATCCACATTTGGAGTTATAGTTTCCTATGGCTAAATATTCAATCTTTTTGATTTTTTTCTTATAGGTAATATATTGAAAAAGGAATTTTTACTAACCTCTACTTAATGTCTTTCAGAATAAATATGACTTCCTTTATGAAATGGAATATGTTTGCTGCTTGGAAGAATGGCCAAGTCCTGTCCACCAAAAAATTTATGCGACTTTCATTTTGGTCATTCTTTTCCTTCTCCCATTGATCCTAATGTTGTTGCTTTATAGCAAGATTGGTTATGAGCTCTGGATTAAGAAAAGAGTTGGAGATGCTTCTGTTCTCAAGAGCATTCATGCAAGTGAGATGTCTAAAATTTCTCGGTAGGTATATATAATTTTATCTTTATGTTTGCTATGTTGAAAATGGTTGTTATATTGCTTCCTGTAATTTTAATATAATTTTATATTACTTCTTATAAATTAATCTTTTCTTTTTCCTAAGATTCTTTAAAAACATCAGTGAGCAGCTTGTGGACATTGATTGTTTGCTAAACAAGTTTTCCTTAAAGTCTATTTTAGGGATTCGTTTTTTTGAATGAACTACATATAATTAACAAATATACCTGGAAAGTGACTTAAGGCATAATTAAATGTGAAGAAGAGCACTCCACTAAAGCATTAATGGATTCTTCTGTTTGCTATTTACAATGTCCTGGTTCTTTCTTTTATGATACTCTTTTATATTATTATGCTCACTCCAACTTCATGAGCTGAAGAGTTGCAAGTGAGAATTTTGGGAAAGGGGACAGAAGGGTATGGGTTGGGCTATAGGTATGGGTATTAAAGTAAAAATCAAATTATTGCAGTTCAGATCTCCAGAGAGATGGCCTTCAAAAAATGTTCTCAGAGTTCATAGAACCTTAATAATATATTGTTTAAATTCCACTATCAAACTAAATTATAGCTTGAATAAGCTATGATGATTGGGCTCAGGCACTGCGTGGACCCCTAAAGTATAATTTACAAAACACAGTGTCTGGATTCATACAAAAGGTAAAACATTGCCCGACAAACTATTTTATGACTTAATATGTGGATACATCTCTTATTTACTTCTATTACTCTTCATTTTAAAATGGGAGGGTTTTTTGTTTCTTTTTCTACATTGAATTATCCTGTACTACAATATCCTCAATACCATCTCTTAAGAACATCCTGTAGACACTGCTACATCCATTACCATCCTGTTCTGTAAGATTCAATGGACAGAACTTGCAAACTTGTTCCAGTAGTGACATAGCATGACTGGTGAAAACAGATCAAGGGCTTTCTAAATGACCATGGCAACTTTAGGAGACCAGGATAAAAGTATCTCTAGCAATTGGCCTACCTATTTTTATTTATTTATTTATTGCATTTATATTTTATCTTCTGGAGCTCAAAAAGTAGATTTTTGCTCCTGACATTATGCTTCTGAAAGGTACAATGTGCTAAGAGAGAATGATTGAACTAAAATCATATTGTGAATTCATATGAGTGATTGAAAACTTTACCTGAGTTCCCATTCCATTAGTTTCATGCTGTAGCAGTAGCAATAGCTTATATACCACTTCACAGTGTTTTACAGCCCTCTCTAAGCCATTTACAATGTCAGCATATTGCTCCCAACAATCTGGGTCCTCATTTTACTAACCTCAGAAGGAGGGAAGGCTGTCAACCTTGAGCCGGTGAGACTCGAACTGCCAAACTGCCGGCAGCTGACAGTCAGCAGAAGTAGCCTGCAGTACTGCATTCTAACCCCTGTGCCACCACAGCTTTAAAATTGTACTTTTAAATTATTTTAATTTTGGATTGCCATATTGCCTGTATTGTCTGTATACTTCCTGTACAGAGAATGTTCTCAAGAATGAGAGGATATGATTGATTTTTAAATCAATTTAACTAGATATATGAAAATAGGATGTTCTGCATGCAAAGTATCTTCCCTTCTACTGAGATATAATTTTTCCTCATACAAATTATTTGTATTGCCTCCTCATCAATATGCTTTCGATCAACAGTCCAGGCTATTTCTCTTTTCAGAAAGAAGAAGCGAGCAATCGTGATGATGGTGACTGTTGTGGTTTTGTTTGCTATTTGTTGGACACCCTTTCATGTAATGCACATGTTAATAGAATACAGTGAGTAGTTTGTTTTTATTAAATAGTAGCAGAGGGAAAGAAAGTAAACAAGACAATGTATTAAAACTACACTAGAATTTTGAATTTTATATGTGCTATTATAATAAATGTATTCCAATAAATATAATTTTTCATGTTTATTGGGATGTATGAGTCAGGCTTAAGCATGTTAATAAATATGCAGTCTTCTGCAAACTATTATTAAAGATTGCAGTCCCCTGCAATCTCTTATTTATGCATAAAAACTATTTACATTTGACTACATTGCAATTATTTTTATCTGTTATTCTTTATGCCTTGTCTTGTATACCATATGAGTACATACATTTCCATCGTCCCTTCCTTACAAAGTTGAATTAAAATGCATTTTGAGAATCCATTGAGAATGGCCCATACAAATAAATGACTTTTGCAATTCAGTCTGATTATGAAGTGAGTTTTATAGATTCAACCAAGTGCTTTTTTTACTTCTTATCATCATAAACCTTCTTCAATAAATCAGGGTTTTTAAAAGAAAAACTATCCCAGAATTGGTCAGATACAGTTCTGAATTGCACTAGGATTCTGCCATTTGAAAGTAATAACGAAGCCGAAGGGATCAGAGTTCTGGTGTTTTGCTTACTTAATTGGGTTCCTGTCCTTCCATAGAAAAGCAGTACAATTTGACATATATTTTTTATTTTACTTTAATGTCCTATCTTCACATGATTAAAGCGTGTATTAAGCTTTTTCTCCATCTGCTAATAAAGGAAAAAACTATATATATCTATACACATACAGAATATGGAAAGTTGTCTGAGACATTTTTGCCCAAAAATAATGAATGAATATGATTCATACTGTTGCTGCTTTCAGGATACAAGAGAGTAGTAAAAGAATATTGAAATACTGGATATGGCCATCATAGTTTAATATTGTTTTATTTGATTAAATTAATATCTATTTTAAACCAGCATTTAATTTCCTGTTGACAAATGCCTAACAATGTGAAAATTTTACAAGGCAATAATACTTGACATTTACTTTTATGCTTTCCTTTCTAGTGCAGGAATTTAGTCATAAATAGTAGAAAACTAATAGTGCAGTTTTATAATATAAATGAAATAAATAATGTAGGTAGGATATTAGACTTTTTCTATCTTAGAGAGCAGGTTTGGTGCAATTGTTAAGGAATTAAATTAGAAATTGGAGGACCATGAGTTCTAGGCCTGCCTTGGGAACAAAGTTAATTGGGTGACCTTGGGCCAATCACACTCTGTTAACCTTAGAAAGGAAATAATGGCAAACTACATCTGAAAAAATCTTGCCAAGAAAACTTATTCAATCTCCAGGAATCAAAAATTTACTTGAAAGCACACACAAACACACAAAAAAGAAGGTATAGGCTTTTTTGTAAGGCATGAGCCAGTTTATCAGCCATCAGCTTCTTAAGTTATTCACTATAAATTATGTATATGGCAGATAAAATTTTAATAGCATGCTTCTTAATAAATTTCTTGATTTATAATTAATTTGGTATACATTTCATTCTGGAATAGTTGGATTTTTATTTCTACTTAACTGGTTCAGATACATAATGAGATAAATGATTGAATAGATAATTCATGTACCATTGAAGAGATGCTTAAACATATTTTTTCTGTGCAGGTAATTTTGAAAGAGAATACGATGATGTCACTATTAAGATGATATTTGGAATTGTTCAGGTAATTGGATTTGCTAATTCAATTTGCAATCCAATTGTATATGCATTTATGAATGAGAACTTCAAGAAGAACTTCCTCTCTGCAATTTGCTTTTGCATTTTGAAAGAAAACTTGTCTCCATTCAGACAACACAAAAACTTGAAAATCACAATGATGCAGCACGAGGAAGGGGCCTGTAGAAGAGAGTTGATCTCTCTGAAAGAGACTAGAAGAGAAGCATTCAGTGAAGGCAACATTGAAGTAAAATTCTGTGACCGACCCTCCAGAAGACACCTGGCTTTGTTCTCATCATAATTCACTGGGCACACCTCACTGGAATCCTAGCAAAAATGGCTCTTTGTGCTCCAATATTTGGCAATGGTTTTTCAAGTATTATATTTAAAATGCTTTGCTTAATATACACAATATGAAGATGTTTTGTGTTTGCTCTCAATTGAGGCTAATAGCTACTAGGTTTAGACATGGTCATCACCGCATTAGGCAAACAGGCCACAATGGTTAAAGCCTGAGACTGTTTTCTTTTTCCATTTGTTTTTTAAAAAAAGGTTTATAGTGCTTTATCTTCTGTTTTATTGTGTATTTTTAGTCCAAGAAATTAACCCTTGCCCTGCCAGATGAACTGTATTTGGACTATATGTGGCCTTGTTGCCAATCAGTGTATATAGCAACAAATCCCAAACAAACCTGTGATCATGGATTGAAGCCATGCAGCTATTTGATATTCTAATAATATTTGGTTATTTTTTAAAATAAGGTAATGTCTCCATATTGAATAACAAAAGAAAAAAACCACAGACACTGAATTTCCTACACAAGGAGTGCCGATTAAGTTTCAGAAGTATTTCTGATAGAGAAAGCAACCTTAAAACCAATTCAGAAATCATTCATTTCAGAGAATTTGAAAACCAGCTATTAAGTAAACATAATATAACATAGTTGACACAGTGAAGACAGTGTTAACCTGATAAAAAAATATAATCTTACAATAATCTTCCAAGACATAGAACAATGCTGGTTAAAAGCAATTTAGAATTTGGCATGGCAGATCTTCTCACCAAGTTAGATGGCAAATGGTTTTTACTTTTCTCCAAAGGAACTTGCAGTAAATACAGGATAATAAGTAGCAAAGTTACCAACTCCCCTTCAGTGTTTAATTACAGTTATTGGTATAATCTGATTGGAATTGTTAATTCACACACAAGTAAGTGCTCGAGAAGCAGGAAGCTTTGTATTTGCTACACAATGTAAAGGTAGCTTGCCAGCACAGCAAGATTGTTTCTATGATGCATGTACCAAGAGCCTAAAACTGAATTCTGATTTCAAAATATTCACTAGCTACTTTGTTTTCTTTTGTTATAAATTTGTTACAAATTAGCACGTGTAATATAAAAATGCTTCATAGTTTCTCCCCATCTTGTTGAAAGAGTATGTGTTAGCACACTTGTTTTTACAAGCTGGAGACATGAACCACCATAAGGGCTTTGGACATCAAAAGTACATAATACTTGTCTTATATGTTGTCCAATAACCATTCAGTAGAGCTTCTTCTAGTTACTTTATGGAAATAGCATTAGCGAGTTATAGTTTGTACTTACTAGATGAATTTGCAGCCAAATAATTGCAGCTCTATTTCTGTGGCTTTTTAGTCATTAGTGTAATCCAAGATCTGTTGACAACAATCTCTAGATTTATTTTCTTTATTACATTTCTGTGATGCTATCTTGTCTAGAGATGAGGAATAGCTAGATATGTAAATAAATACACTGTAAATATATAGCATCTATTTATAAACTAATTTTTCTGCCTCCTTTGTTTAGCATCTAGATTTATTACTAATTTGGGTATATTGAAGCTTAGTTATTTTTTTAACTTTTTACAAAGTTGTAACTTTTGAAGATGCTAAAAAGTATAAACAGATCTTTAGCTTGGTCAGCATAGCACTTTTGTTTTTATATTAATAATGCTGCTATACTATTTATGATCCCCATCTTTGCTTACTGGAGCAACACTATAGTTTGTAACTTTTTGTCAGTGAGAAAGTGGCATTTTCCTGGCTTTAGAAAGCCTAATGAAACATTTAATTTTATCTATTACATTCTGGAAGGTTTCTAAAGCCAAAGTTACAGCTAAATATTTGTAAAAGATATTGTCAATGTATATATAATTTTAAAAACAATAAAATAGAAATTTATCCTTAATTTATCATTTCCCTCCTCCATATGGATAACACTGTAATATATTTTAAAAGCGATCAATGGTTCTAAACATTTTTTTAGATACTTTAGATAACAAAACTACTGATAGAATCTAAATATGTCCTGAATTTTTTACTATATGATACAGGGAAAGGTTGCCATGGAGATACTAGTTTCATTACAAAATGAGTACAATCCCTTTTCTGTTTTATAAATTCACTATAAATTGATGATATGGAAATTTAATTTCGTTATAGGGTATTTTTTCCTGAGGACATAAGGGGTAGAAGACTTTAAGACCTGCATCTCAAACAAATCCATGACATGCATTCATTAGAGTTGAGCAAGCCTAGGATCCCAATTTAATTAAAGACCACAAGGGTATGGAAAGCGCTCTAGTGTGCATAAACTTAGGCATCCTTAGTCTGCATTAAGTGTACTTAGTAGCTTATTGCAGAATGTTTTGGCATTGTAATGAACCTAGTAAACAGCATAGATGAAGCAGGATGTCACCACTGGTTGAAAGAACATCCTTAATGCCTTTTTGGCAATGCTATTGCAATGAGCTCTGGGGCTTAGATCGTTTGAGATGAGTACTCCTAGGTCATTGACAGAGTGAGGGTTGTTTACAAGATCGTTTCTGCCCAATTTGTATTTGGTGTTCTAATTTTTATTGCCAATGTGTAAAATGTCTAGAACTTCAATAGAAAAGCGGATGGAAATATAAAAATGAGGAATAGCTTTTTTCTGATCTCACTGAATATTCAGAAACTGGGTGTGGTTATGAGCATAATGGAAATCAATTCTTTATTTCCATTATTAGCTGAAATGCTGCTTAATGAGAATAGGATATCAAGTTGATCCAATAGCAAACTAATATTTCTTTCATGTATTTTAAACTAAATTATTGATGCATAGCAATGCATGGTAATGATGAAAGCTTATATTTTAATATACATTAAAACAGGTGGGATTCAAATTTCTTAACAACTGGTTCTGTGGGTGTGGCCTAATTTGTGGGTGTGGCTTGGTGGTCATGTGACTGGGTGGGCATGGCTTGTATGTAAATAATATAAATATTTAGGTAAATATTTTTTTATAAAAAAGAGCAACGTTTACCCAAAATCAGGCAGAGCAGGCAGCAAATTGAGTTGCTCACAGAATCACAGATTCATTTAGAGATCTATCTATCTGCAGTCAGCTACCTGAGTCTCACATAAAATTTGCTTGCAAGCAAACTCATAAAATTAACTTACAACACACCATGTATGTAAATATTGAATTTTTTTATTTATGAATGAATGAATTTTTATGTGCCCAACCAAATGATTTAAAACTATTTTTGATGATATATTAAGAATTTGAAATTCATAGTGCCATTGTTTAATTTCGATTTCCAGACAGGCAAGGTATTTATTTTCCTGTTCATTTCCAATTGCATTTTGTTTGTCAAACCAATTCATGTAAAAATATTCTAAAAATTTAGCATGTAAAATTTACTATAGGTTACACTTTTGTTGCCTACATATTTCTGTTTATTACGTTACCTGGAAGCAAACAGGGTACAACTGTACATATTACTTCTTTTTTAAAGATATTTTATCCTATTGTTACACTGATCTATTTAAATAAATGTTTGAGTACACTAAAATACTTTTTATAAAGCACTGTGTACAAATATGTGCATGAATTAGTAAAACATTATACAAAGTGTGTTGACAAAACTATTCACTTTTTTTGTTAACACACATTATCTTTGGTGTATGTGTAAATTTAGTACATGTGCAAGTGTATGTCTTTAGTATATGAGCAAGTTCTAGCAATACACAAAACACCTTTAATCTATTTATATGTGCGATCTTTAATGTATGTGCAAGTTCTAGCAATACACCAAACACCTTGATAATATAGACATGTAAAACAGTTCAATGCAATTTAAAACTAAAGTTATCTCTTTGTCCATTTTCAGAACTAGTACACTTTTTCTGTGCCAGATGGATCTGTTTTCTTGATAATAAATACAAAGAAATCTCAAACACATACACAAAACACACAGCTAATTTGATTGCCAAGAAGGCATCTCTTTAACTTCTGTTTTTATCATTTAATACTTTTGAATTATGTTCTTTGTGGAAGTTAGGAACGGTGGACACCTCATATTTCACTTCCTATGCACTTTTATGACAAATATCCTTCCCAGTTCATAGAATTATAATCTGCTTATTTTGGATCCCTAGAATAAGAAATCTAGAAGGGTTCTCCTTCCCAATCACCCCCCCCCCTTTTTTGCAATCTTTCATCACTATGGCACACTGAGATTTATTTATTTATTTATTTATTCATTCATTCATTTATTTATTTATTTATATTTGTCAATTGCTTAAAGATAATAGGTATAAGTATAAATATAGTTATGAATACATGGATACATATAAGAAAAATAAAAGAAACAATAGGACAGGGACGGTAGGTACGTTTGTGCGCTTATGCAAGCCCCCTACAGACCTCTTAGGAAAGGGGCGAGGTCAATAGTAGAAAGTCTAAGATTAAAGTTTTTGGGGTTTGGGGAAGAAACCACAGAGTCAGGTAGAGTATTCCAGACATTGACCACTCTGTTGCTGAGTCGTATTTCCTGCAATCAAGTTTGGTGCGGTTTACCTTGAGTTTGTATCTATTGTGTGCTCTTGTATTGTTATGGTTGAAGCTGAAGTATTCATTGACAGGTAGGACATTGCAATGTATGATTTTATATACTAAGATTGGACCAAAGGCGGCATAGTTCTAGGTTTTCTAGGTCTAGAATTCAAGTCTGGTGGCATAAGGTATTCTGCAACGAGTAGAGGAGTGGAGAACTCTTGTGAAATATTTCTGGACTTTCTTTGCTGTGTTAATAACAGATATGTAATGTGGGTTCCAGACTGATGAGCTGTATTCAAGTACCCCATCACATTGATTTGTAATCTGCTAACTGCCCCTGCCTGAAAAGTTAGCTTCTCAAGTTATTCTGAATAGCAGAATAACTTAACATGTAACATTTGTTGCTTTATTTTTTTTTAATTGGAGAATTCAATATGGGGCACTCTTACTACTCATTTTAAT